TAAATAAGGATATATTAGGTACTGTATCCTTGTTATCGGATATAGGAAGGATAAATAAGGATATATTAGGGATAACAAGGATACAGTAGGATATAGGAAGGATAACAATTGTTATCCCTAATATATCCGGATACAGTAGGATATAATCCTTCCTTGTTATCCCTAATATATCCTTATTTTTATTTACCCTTGTTATCCTTCCTATATCCTACTGTATCCTTGTTATCCCTAATATATCCGGATACAGTAGGATATAGGAAGGATAACAAGGGTAAATAAGGATATATTAGGGATAACAAGGATACAGTAGGATATAGGAAGGATAAATAAGGATATATTAGGGATAACAAGGATACAGTAGGATATAGGAAGGATAACAAGGGTAAATAAGGATATATTAGGGATAACAAGGATACAGTAGGATATAGGAAGGATAACAAGGGTAAATAAGGATATATTAGGGATAACAAGGATACAGTAGGATAACAAGGGTNCCCCTCTCTCTCCCTTCCTGCTCTCTCTATGTATATATTATATATATATATATATATATATATTATATATATATACTATATATTATGTCGCCGCCTCCCAGGGCCAGTCGGGGATAGCGGTCAGGGCGCCCTCACGACAATTTAAAAAAAATTAAAAAATGACCATTAATAATCTAGAGATATCTGAACACTATATATCCGGAATAATATGACTTGTGGAAGCTTATTTTTATATAATGTCTAATTATTAACACTATAGCACACTTATAGTCTTACTACACGCTAGGAGAAATGCCATCATAAACAGGGGCGACGGGCCAAGCCAGTCCTTGATCACTCAACAGCCATTGCGTCAGCGAGGGACCGGATGAGAGAGGTGAGCAGCGGTCTGCCAGCCTCGATGAGTGAGGCTGAGATTGAAGCCTCTGGCATGTGAATCCGACGGCGGCACCGCCGCACAATCTCCTCTAGGATGCGGTAGCGTCTTCTTCTTGCACCGTGCGATCCGTGGTCCTGAAACACGCAAGGAGAGGCACAACCCGCGTCAGTGCAAAATCCCGGCAGGCCAGGGTAAAACCAGGCTGGTGTGCCGGCCGTCGGTGAAAGCCAAGGCGTCAGGCGTGAAACCAGGCGGTCAGTAAAACGCCGTGGGTGAAACCGGCGTCAGTGCCAAAACCCGCGGTCAGGGTAAAACCAGCGCGTCCATCCGGTTGAAACCAGGCGGACAGGGTAAAACAAGGCGGTCACCGGTGAAACCAGTGCGTCAGTTAAAACCAGGCGGTCAGGGTGAAAACCAGGCAGGTCAGGGTGCAAACCAGGCGGTCACGCAGGTGAAACCAGGCGGTCAGGGTAAAACCAGGCGGTCAGGGTGAAACCAGAAGCGCTCAGAGTGAAACCAGGCCGATCACGATGAAACGCAGGCGGGTCGGGTGAAAACAGGCGCGGTCCAGGGCAAACCCGGCGGTCAGGGTAAACCAGGCGGTCACGGTGAAACCAGGCGGCCAGGGTAAAACAAGGCGGTCACGGTGAAACAGGCCGGTCAGCGTAAAACCAGGGCGTCAGGGTGAAACCACAGGCGGTCAGGCTGAAACCAGGGCGCTCAGGGTGAACCCAGGCGCGTCAGGCTGTTAAAACCAGGCGGTCACGAGTGAAACCAGGCGGTCCACGATGAAACCAGGCGGTCAGGGGTGAAACCAGGCGATCAGAGTAAAACGCAAGGCGGTCAGGCTGAAACGCAGGCCGTGTCAGGTGAATACCAGGCGGTACAGGTTAAGACCAGGCGGTGCAGGGTGAAACCAGGCCGCGTCAGGCGTGAAACACGCAGTTAGGGTGAAACCAGGCAGTTAGGGTGAAACCAGGTGTCAGGCGTGAAACGCAGGCGGTCAGGACAGGCGTCAGTGTGAGAATCCGAGCGGTCAAGCGTGAAACCAGGTGTCAGGGTTAAAACCAGGCGATCTCAGAGTAAAACCAGCGGCTAGCGAGGCGGTCGGCGTGAAACCAGGCGTTCACGGTGAAACCAGGGCGGGTACAGGGCAGGAACGGCGTCAGCGGATAAACCAGGCGGCTCAGGGGAAACCAGGCGGTCAGGGTGAAACCAGGCGGTCAGGGTGAAACCAGGCGGTCAGGGTGAAACCAGGCGGTCAGGGTGAAACCAGGCGGTCAGGGTGAAACGCAGCGCGGTCAGCGTGTGAACCAGGCGGTCACGCGTGAAACCACCGGGTCAGGGTGAAACCAGGCGGTCAGGGTGAAACCACAAGCGGTCAGCGGTGAAACCAGGCGTCAGGGTGAAAACCAGGCGGGTCCAGGGTGAACCAGGCGGTCAGGGTGAAACCAGGCGGTCAGGGTGGAAACAGGCGTCCACGGCTGAAACCAGGGACGTGCACGGTGAAACCAGGCGGTTCACGTCGAAACCAGCGGATCAGCGGTGAAACCAGGCGGTACGTGTGAAACCAGCGCGGCTCACGCGTGAAACAGGCGTCACGGTGATAACCAGGCAGTCAGGGTGAAACGAGGCGTCAGGGTAAAACCACGCAGCGGTGCAGCCGGTCCGGTGTAAACCAGGCGGTCACTAGGTGAAACCGGTCGTTCAGCGGTGAAAGGCGCGCAGAACCAGCGGTCAGGGAAAACCAGCGTCACGGTGAAACCAGGCGGTCAGAGTGAACCAGAGCGGTCAGGGTGAAACCAGGCGGCTATCACAGGTAAAACCAGCGGTTCAAGGTAAAACCAGGCGGTGAGGGTAAAACCAGGCGGTCAGCGGTGAAAACAGGCGCGTAGGGCTGAAACCAGGCGGTCACGGTGAAACCAGGCGGTCACGGTGAAACCAGGCGGTCAGGGTCAAATTAGGCGGTCAGGGTGAAACCACGCAGTCGAGGTAAAACCACGTGGTCAGTACACGCTCAAAACCACGACTTACTGATGCGGCGTGGCGAAGCATTTACTTCCTTATTGGCCAAAACTTTAAAAACACTTAGACTACCTTAATTCATATATCATAAGATCACATTATTAATAATTATCAATTCAATTGAGTATGACACCCCACATAGACATTTTGAGGTTAAAACGCCCTAGACAGAGCAGTAACTCTTTGATCTCAAGCTGTGAATATCTGTGTGAAGTGACCTGTAACAGTTTGCACGGGAGCTGCACCACGTGTAACGTGTAACTGAGGCTACCTTCAGCATCAAGCATGTGACACTGTACAGTCGCTTCAGGTTTTCCATGTCGATGTGAGGTACCATAGCAATCAACACATCCATCAGTGCATGCCTGAAATACAAACAACATCACCACATCAGTGCACTGCCACGTACCACACCCCTAAAATAACACAACCCTAATATCTTAAAAGTAGGAAAAAACTATTAAATACTAAATCACCTAACTACTACAAACTAAATACTACAAAAACTACATTAAACCTCCTGATAATAGCAGAGTTAACTACAGGTGCTGAAAAGGTACTTCCGCCCGTATTTTCCACATAGCATTAATGACCGAGCAGCAGGATAATATTGTAAAATAGACCGCAGTCGCACACTACTTCCCATCAGTTCACCACTGTGACGTACGCGCACGCAGTTAATCTACCAAACATGCGTTCACTGTTAAACGCATGTAGATATGAGATAGAGGGAGCCATTGTACCGCTTCAATGATGTTTGCTCTCCGTCGTTCACCATTTCAACAGACTTCTCAAAGAACGAGTCAACGAGCTAGAACGAGACAAAGAAGTAAAACGTTAAAAACAAAACAATAAAACAAATAAAACGATTCACGCACTGTAACGCACACATGCGTGTCTGCCATAAGAATTTTCACCCGGAGGTGGCCAAACAGGGGTTTCCTAAATAAAATACTATCACAACTACACAACGTGAACAAGTTACCTCCTGGTGGGAAAGCATCATTCGATGAACTATTACTTAACTAATGAATTATTACTGAAGTTAACCTCAAGTGACTGCACGGCCCTGTACTGTTTTACTGTTACTGTAAACACTAAACTACATAGTCGAATTTATCCATTTATCCATAGAGCAACTCATCCTTTCGAATCCATGTACAGTACACCCATAGTAATTAAACACACACAAAAAGATATATAACAAGGATAAATAAGGATATATTAGGGCTAACAAGGATACAGTAGGATATAGGAAGGATAACAAGGGTAAATAAGGATATTTTAGGGTGTAACAAGGATACAGTAGGATATAAGAAGGATAACAAGGGTAAATAAAAATATATTAGGGATAACAAGGATACAGTAGGATATAACAAGCATAACAAGGTGTAAATAAAAGATATATTAGGGATAACAAGGATACAGTAGATATAACAAGCATAAATATAAGGACAGGAAACAGGAATGAACAGGTATGAATGAGAAGGAAGGATAATTCCCGTGTGAGTGTACCTGGGGTGGCGTGATCTGAAGGTAGACCTTTATCGTTTCGTGCACAGCCCGTCTGGATGAATCCCGCTCTCTTCCTGGCTCAAGGTCGGCCGTCACAATGTTGAAGAATATCGGCAGGTAGTTCTTTGCGTACTTTGCGAGCTCCGCACGATTCTTCTCTGTATGATGACAAACAACACGAAACACATGCGTGAGTAATCACATACATACACACACACGCACATGTAGGCAAGCACACACACTTGCATTCGCAAGCACGCATGCACGCACACACAGACACACTCTCTCTCTCTCTCTCTGTTAATTACTCTCATTCTCTTTTCATACAGAAAGACAGTATACCTACTAGAATAGCATGTCGCCTCTATTTTATGTCCGTTTCTCGGAAATGTGAATATACAAAGTCAGAATGACGAGCAAAGGGTGGAGGTAGAGCTATAACAACATGTCAATGAAGATGAATGTTAAACGTGTACTGCCAGATTGCTTGTAATGTAATGTATATCTTTATTATATAATTATATTTATCATATAATATATATATACGGCTCGACCTAGCGCGTGGCCCGTGGCCCGGCACCAACACTTGATGTAGGCACGCAAATTTCCAAGTTAAAATTTGGGTGGGCCCGTTACGGGCCACTAAAATTTCAAAGCTAGTTCTATGTGATGAAAAAATAATTGTTTCTTACGTGCTTAATCTCATTCAAAAGAGAGCGGCTCTACGCGAAGGGCAGAGGGCACACGTAGCACGTGCAGCATTCTACCGCGGCATACCGGGCCACGGTTTATCCGTCTACTGGGCGGCATGCAACAAGCCACGTTTTGTGTTAGAACTGGTAATTCGCCTTACGCTCTGCAGACAATGTACACGCTCTGCCGACGACATTCGGCGTGAACAGTCTACCAAGTCAAATCTGAGCGGGCGCAGGCCATAGCAAATGTTTGGCAAGCGCCAGCATACATGTGATTACATTGTATCAAGCAGAACCAGACAATGCGGTTCTGGTGAAAATTTCGATGCCGTGGAATGGATAATTCCAAATGTATGCCTCAATCATCAACTGTCATGTGTGCATTGGTGGCGTTTGTTTTAAAGACTTGTGCAAGTGCATCAGACGCCCAATTTTTCAAATAATATAACACTACGAGATTTGATAGTTTTTTTTTTTCTTTGTTTTTTTTTTCGGGCACCGGCTAAGATTCATTTTCGGCGCACCAAAAAATTGAAAATCATGATTTGGTGGCCGCGATCGGCCACTAAAGTTGCTGTCGAGCCTTGATATCTATATATATATATATATATATATAAAAAATATATATATATATTATATATATAAAATCTATATATATAATATATTATATACATGGTTGATATGATATACACACACAGCTATTAGACCAGAAATTGTATTGTGGGGTGCAGAAAAAATATTTTGGAGTGCAATTTTTACAAATGTACACAGCTTTAGATCAAATATTTTAGGCCGTGGGCCACACATTTTTGGGCCGGCAGTTTCAAACTGGACGCCGTGCAAATCCATGACCTGCGCGGCTCGCTGGTAATACGTTGACACACACACTACATTCCGCAGGCATGACTCACCGTTCTCGAGGTTCTTGGTGACGAGCAGACGCAGGGCGGTGAGTACGTCCAGCCGCAGCTCACTATGGTCGGCCACCGCCTGCCCGAGGATGCGTGCCACGCCCACAAACGCCTGCAAGCAGACACGACACCGCAGCCACCGTTAACCACGCTGACTACCACATAACACACACGTGTGTGCAGACGATACATGAGCGGACATGGGACGCCTGCAGGACACACTACCAAGACACACGACGCTAATGAATTCCCGATCAAGTCTCACTCCACATTATTACCTCTAATTAAGCTTCAATGTCTAAAGCTTTATCTCGGTGACATTTTTTACGGTAAATTCCTACTGGAACGCGTCCTTGCGTGCAAAACCAGTACGAGTGAATGTTTCGGGGCGCATTAAACGTCTGAGACTTAAGCGTCTGAGGCGCAATCAGAGAGAGCAGGATCACGCGGATCACAATCAGGGCAGGATCAAGCGGATCACGATCAGAGCAGGATCACGCGGATCACAATCAGGGCAGGATTCAGGGCCAGGATCAAGCGGATCGCGGATCAAGAGCGGATCCGCGGATCACAATCAGGTCAGAGATCAGGAGGCGGATCACGATCAGAGCAGGTCACGCAGATCACAATCGGGCACGGATCATGCGGATCACGACTCAGGACGACGCTCACCTGACATAGATCCGTCGGTCGTGTGCAGAATCCGGGCAGAAGCGCCCAGATCTGCTGCTGCATGATGTCATACGTCTTCGCGACCACCTGGTGGCCGGACTGCGCCAGCTCGGCAGCTGAAACAAGAGAGCAGTCGCTTAGTACGTGAGTACGACGATAGACAATGTGGTCTATCACCGCAAAACAAAATGCAAAATTTCACACATTGCGCACAAATTTAAGATGTGTTTCCATCGTTGTACAGTACGAGCGTACTACTTACACCTGTTCTTTAGTTTCGCGGCGAGCGGGAGGAAGTAAGAGACGAAGAATGCCAGTTCGGTGTCCTGGATGCTGTTACGCATCACCGGCAGCAGCCAACTCCTCGGAAAGTCAAACGTCTCCCTGTGAGGTCACAACGGCAAACACAAAAACATCAACCACGCGCGCACACACGCACGCACGCACGCACACACATACGCACATACACACACGCACGCTCACACACACGCACGCACGCAAGCACATACACACATGCACGCTCACACATACACACATACGCACGCACGCACATACACCCACGCACGCTCACACATACACACATACGCACGCATGCACATACACACATNGGCATTATGCACAAATATAGACCACAAAAATCACTAAAATAAAAAAAAACCCATTTGCTTCCAAACTAAAAAAAAACTCGCGACGTAAGACACTATCGCATAATATACAAGCGCGACGCTCGCTAGGGGGCGCCGCGTGCACTCACTCGTCGCCGGTGATGTTCAGCGGCACGGCGTTGAGGACGACGCGTGGACCGGCCGCACGCACAGCGGCCGCCATCGCTGCGTCGAGCGCCGAGGCGTGCGCGAATCCATGACTGTCACGCAGCGCCGCCATCGACTGCAGTGTCTTCGTCATCGCCACGTGACAGTCGCCACCGGCAACCTGCAAACATTCGCGCGCTCGTTAACGTTAACGAGTTTTAACGTTGGTTGGCAGCGGAAGGGGATGGAGGATAGATCTGCCTGGAGAGATTGACATGTTGTTTTAGTTAATCTACAACAAAATTACACCCTTCATTGGTCTTAGCATTAACTTTTCTTTATAGACCAAACCTCTATGTACACACCATGTTTCTATCAACAGTCTATACGGAAAGTTCATGTTAAAACTCATATGTCAAGTCTAACTTATTTCTGACAATAGGACCCCAGGAAGAGATAGGAATTCACTATCTTTACATGTTGAATTAGTTCACAGAAAACTGACACAATTTTATAACTATGGATGCCCGAATACACACCTCGAAAAGACGAGCGAGCAATGGTAGCACCAACTGCCATGACGCTTGATACTGGTAACCAAGCGCCGCCTCCAAGCTGTGACACAACTTGCGGATAGTGCCGCCACCTGTAGGATTCTTTTTGTACTCGCCGACAAAGAAGTCTTTGGCTTGACTAATGCAATCCACTGCAACCTGAACGATGGACGTAGGATGAATTCGCTATAGCGTGCACTCGAATTTCAGATGCCCTCACCCACATATCTACAGCCTCCCCCACCCACCCTCACCCACATATCTACAGCCTCCCCCACCCACCCTCACCCACATATCTACAGCAACAACCACCCACCCTCACCCACATATCTACAGC